AGGGCTGTCCCAGACCATTGCAATGGTTTCCAGTTCACAGCAGTATCCATGCCATACACAGTGCAACAGGTCCTCTGATCCAAGAGAGACCATTCACACCCTGTTTTGTCCTTGCCAGAGCCACCAGCACTGGCCCTTTGGGTTTTTGTAAGGGCTACCCTGGTTCCCGGTTGAAAGCAGGGAAGGCAGGTGTGGTGGACAACTAGCGACCTGTAGTTAGCCAAGAATATCCCTGGGCTTTGGGCTTCCTTCCCACTAAAGAGTGACCCCAAGACCTCATTTCAGAAATTTGTAATAGTTTCATCAAATCTTACTGAGGCCATCGTTACTTTCATGGTTGCACGTAGCTTCCTCCATCTCAAAAGCACATCTTGGTTAACGCTCAAGGAGATGGTCAAGCTTCTGCCCGCTCCCTTCCCTCGTTCAGGTAGCGTGGGCAGAGCAACACGATGGCCTCCAGCACTGACGGCGCGTGGCCAGAAGAGCGGACCCTGGACAGCTGAGCAGGCAGCAGGGACAACTGTCTATCAGGAGCCGAGTGACAGGTCAGATGTACCACCAAGTTCTTTGGCAAGGCTCATCCTAGAGCAAGGAGAGAGCCAGCAGGCTAAGTACAAGGGCTCTGGACTGGAATCACTGGAGCGCAAGGTCATGGCACAGAACTGGGGCTTTAAAAGTCACCACTGTACTCTCCAACACATGCAAAGACTGGAGCAACCCCGGGCGGGCTCCAGGTACCCTGGGAAGCCTTTAGGAGAGACATCGCTGAAGTGACAGCACCCAGAATTGATTTGCGGTGTAGTCCAGTCACATCAAGTGGCAATAAAACCGTAAGTGGCTTCAGGACAGCAAGCCCCATTTGCCTGAGATGAACGGTGGCTTTTAAAAAGATCACTAAATCCCATCAGTGCTACATATACAAACCTCATTTATTTTAAAGGCTCCTATTAAAGTGCCTTTTATTCCTAGCAATAGGCAGTTTTAAATTGCAAAATAAGTTCTCAGATCAGCCAGCGACCATCTTCATTCCT